TATTTATGCTTTCAGTGCTGTTGCAGATAGGATGGTGCTGTTTACCCTTTTGTGTAGGAGAAGTTGAAGCACAGACATACCAAAGTGCTGCTTCCTGAGGAGCTGAATCCAATTTGTTTTCCATTACAGTCTAGTGCATTAATCCTTACCAGGTCTGGCTAGAGTGGTATGTACCTTAGCTTGAGAGTATGTGTATGTGAACAGGATGGCTGTAAGAGGTCCAGGGTGGTTACTGTGCTGTAGCAGCACTCCTAGGTGGAAGATTTCTTTGCAGCATTGAAGTGTTACCCAGATGGCATCATCAGCTGCCCTATAGTGATGTGTGAGTGAGGATCCTCTTAAGGGGGTTGCCAGTGAAGTACTAAAAAGAGAACACAGAATACACTGTTGGTACAATGGTAACTTCCAGAGGCAATGAGAAAAAAGAGTGTGCCCTGAGAGTTGGAGAGTACAAAATGGCAGGATTTTAGTAGAGTCCAGGATCCTGTTAACTGATGTTATACTGCAGATGAGGAGCCCTCACATCTCTTTTTCTCCTTTGCTCCTTGGTTGAGGGCCATTGTATGCACCATTAGAAGATATTTGACCTGTAAGTGCAGCTGATGCAGTGACAGAGGCCTCCATACTCTGCTCAACCGATCCAAGCTCTCATTGATGTGTGTCTCAGGGCTGTTCTCTTCTGCTCTGTTGTGCAATAACACATCAGAGCCTTCTGAAGCTCTTGGCAGAGTTTGTGCTACATTCTGACTTGCCTAAGGGATGATACTGCTTCTTTTCTTTTCCTCCTTTTCTCTGCTTAACCTGCCTCCATGCTCCTGTTGCATTACACGTGACGCATACAGTGAACACTGAGACACTAAATAGAACAGAAACTGTTCCAATCCCAAATGGGCTGGGGCTGAATATACTTCTGTTTGAAATGAGGCTTACAGGGAGAGAAGGTAAATCTTCTATGGAAGGAGGAACAGAAGGAGGGAGCGAAGGGCATCTGTAGCAGGAATTAATTCCTTCCTGGGAGAAGAGATGTTGGGTGCCCACAGTCTTATCGCAGAGGATTGCCTTGAAGAAGGGTAACAAATAACTGAGCAGGGATACTGTTGCTCCTCAGCACACAGGCTGGCCACAGGAGCTGATAAAGGAAAGTGTCTGCCCTCAAAAGCAGCTGTGTAGCAGAGGAGCTAAGAGCTTCTTTCACTGCTGTCATTTCAGTTTTAAAAGCAGGGAGGGTATCTAAAAGCTGGTGATGTCCCTTTTCATCCTTTGGCTGAAATCCTTGGGAGAGAAAATTGCCTAAAAACCCAACCTGTATACTTTACACCACTCACAAACAGCAAATCATACGGCTTCATGTCCAGCATAAGTGTCCACTCAACATACTTTCCTACTTGGTTTTGAGGATATAAATATAGGTGTTCAGGGCTGTGTTCTTGTTGATTTAAGATGCACAGCCAGCGTGCTCAGATCAGGTCACAGAATTAGGAGCTTGCATGCAGATACTGATGGCTACTAGTTTAGTTTAGTTACAGCCTCCTGATTTTGTTGCAAAATAAGTTCTAGTGACGCTATAGTATTGTGGATGTTTCAAGACTCACCATAGCAGATGTATTGTGTCCTGGGAAGGGATGCCAAGGATAACTTCAGTTAAAAAAAACAAAGATTCTAGAGGCTATTGCAAAAATTGTGCTGTTTTTCAGCTAATGTTGAAATGTATTTCATGCCCAAACCATCCATCACTGTTAAATCCTGGAGCACAAATAATTGGGCTAACACAGCTGAGCCCAAGCAAGGGCCACAGTTTGCTTGTGCAGCTGAGTGACTGAACTGCTCTTCTATTGGGAAAAAACATGGATAATTTCCTGGCTTCTGTGAGAGGGCAGCCTGCAGATTGGATATGAGAGGTGAACAGTCAATTGCAGCAGGGAAGAAGTGACACATTTGGTTTGGCTTCAGGTTGCTGAGGAGCAGTAGTAGCACTGCTTCATTGGAGCTCAGGGCAGAAGAGCATTCAGACAGTTGGACCTTTGCTCTAAAGGTTTATTTTGTGTATTTAGTTGTCACTGAAGGGTGCTGGGCATTTGAAGCTGGAAGTAAAAGTTGTCAATCCTGAAAACTCCAGAGCATAGCTGTCCTCATTTTCAGTATGTGGTTTGCCTTACAAGCAACAGGTAGCCATTAATCTAAGGTCATTTTCCACAGTTTTTCCTAATTAGGAGCACTGCAACTATTTTAGGAATGTGTGGTTTCCAAACAGTTGGATAAATTTGCCTGTGCAGTGCACGCAGTGACTCTAAACCTGTGGCTCTTCTGACCAGCTTTGAGCCCAGCACTGAGTTGTTTCTTCATATGAAGCATGTCCCTCTCCTTCCTATCTCTTAGGGAAGCAACAGCCTAGACTGGCTGTGAGTGGGCTATGATGCGGTGCAATTCATTTCAAGCAGTGGTAATCTTGTGTCTTCTTTCTATCTGGAGTAGGAAAATTAAACATGAGCAAATTCATCACAACAGTTGGAACAAACGTAGGAGCTGTTGTTGGGGTGGAACAGAACAAAAGTTCTCCTTAAGTGTCATCACCAACATAAAACATTGCAAGTGCTCTGCAGTTCAGAATGGTATCTGAGAAATACTGCAATGGGCAGTTGTAGAGTACTTGTTTCTGGCAGTCAAGGAGTGCTCGTGCTCTGGACAAACAATGGTAATGCTCGTTCTTTTAAAAACAGTGTCTCTCCATCCCAGGCAGCTTTCATGTTTACTGTGTTTGGATGTTCAGCAGTTTCTTGTCACGCTGTGTGATCACCCGCTGGCAAAGGCCTTTCAGCAGGGTTCTGGGGGGAGCCTGGGAAGGTATGGGCTTCACGCCACTTGTTAGAGGAAATCCAGAGCTCTGCCACTCTGCTCTCAGAAGTCCCAACTGCTATTAGTTGAACAGCAGCGGCTGGTCACAAGATGTGGCTGTGTGGGATTTTGCGGCTGGGAAAGAGGTGCTTATAGCTATTAGAGAGATGGCCAATAAGCTGCTGTGACAGAGATGCAGGATAGCTGTCTCCAGTCCAAGGCGCTGACTGCAGGAGACTCCACTTCTTTGCTGTGGAGGCTTGGTTACCTTGGCAACGTGTTTTTAGCTGGATCTCTGCTCCGGTGGAGAGCCTGTCTATACCTGCTACTTCTTTGTTTTGAAATGGCTGGTTTACAGGAAAATACCTGACAGAGTATTTCCAGAGCTGGATTACTGTGGAATCCACTCTCTGCTTTTGGTCCCAGGAGTTTCAGTGTGGTGATGAGGTGATGGTGATATGGGGAGCTCTGTGGCTGGATTGAAGAGGTGTTAATATATCTGCTTTGTGAGGTGGGCTGCCACCATGGAAGGGAGAGATGCTGCTGCTGCTTGTTAAATCCTGGAATAGCTCTGAAAGATGACCTGCATGTCTGGAGTTTACAGAGAACTTTTTGTTCATTCTGGTTTGCAGTTCAGCATCAAGCTACCACCTGGTAGATTAAACTGAAGTAACTTCTGTCTGCGATGAGTAAATACCCACACTAGGGCTATAGGCTTCCCTTTTGGGGGACATATATAAACTTTTGACACGCCTGGTGAATTTCTAGCATTTGAAGGTAGTGGTTGCAGGACTACATTCAGAATCAGACAATTTTGTTTCCTTCCGGATCTTACCAGGCTCTTCACATCTGTCTTTTTACTGTATGTTTTTTGGTTTTCCCTTTTGTGAATATTTTGTAATCCTGAAAGGGGAGGAGGTTGTGTGTGTATCTAAACCTTGCCCTTAGGTAATTCCTGTTCCCTGTGCTTTATCTCTTATTTTATAGGAATGTAGATGAATGGTCTGTTCTCTGTATTCTGTGGGCTTCTCCCAGACTGGAGTTGGTTTTCTCAGGGGTTACTGTGTAGTGTGTAACAGCTGTGCAACAGTGGGGGGAAGGATGGATTTACAAGTTCTAATTATAAGAGATTGGAGTAGTACCTGGTGCTACTCTCTTAGATGCAGGTAACAATTACTAAGTAATTGAGAGCCTTTTTAAAAAGGTCTGCATTCCAGCTTGACTTTGCAGGCCACCTAATTCAGATGTTTTAAGTCTTTGACATCTGTTGACTTTAGAGCAGAGTACATTAAGAATCTGTTAAGCAGGCATCAGCTTTCAGTGCTGAGCAGCTTAAGAGTAATGCAGAGAGCAACCCTGAGTAATGCAGAAGAAAATAGCTTTCCTTCTTTGAAATTTTCAAGAACTAATAAAAACAAAATAAAGAACTTCCCATTTTACCAAGTGCACGGAATACAATTGTTTAAATTTTGTTTGATTAAAGCTCTTTTAGCCAACCTTTTTGTTAATTCCCACTATTGCTAACTGATTTTGAGCAGCTACAGCTATGTTTGTTTTTTAAACAAGTGTGAACCAGATCTGTAATCTCTACTGCGTAGCCCTAGATAACTGACACAATAAAGTGCTACATCCTTCCTTGTAACATTGCAGCAGCATTGACACGGAGCTACAGAAGAGCTATGCTGTGGGTTGTTTGGGTGTTTTTTTTCTTGTTACTTTGGTTTTTTTTAACTGCATATATCAACAAGAGTGACAGTTTGGGGCTGACTGTGCATACATCATGTTGGTGATGTATGAAGCAGAAATGAGACAGTTGGAATCTCCAGCCCCTATCTGCTCACTTCAGGATGTAGCAGATAGAAAAATCTCCCCTGAACTGTCTAAGCTAACAACAGACTTACCCTGAGGCTGAGCAGATTTGATTGGGAAGTCAGTGAAGGAGAATAAATGTGGACAGTGAAATTGCTGTCACTTACCTGTCCAGCACAGTATTTTAGCCAGGAAAAACCCTAAACAAACAAAAAATGCCATGTAAATTGATGTATTTATGAGAGGTGAGCAGCTGGCGTTTAATGCTAGATAATGAAAATAGATCTATATTTAGGTGACTTGCTGAGAATGATTTTGCTTTTAATTTTATTTAAAAAATACATGTAATTTTCCCCTAGCTTTGATCAACTTGTTGAAGTTCCTCATGTCTAATGAGACTGTGCTGCTGGCCAAGCACAACATCTTCACCCTTGCCCTTATGGTGAGTACAGGCAAAGCAAATATTTTTATTTTAAACAATTTAATTTTGAATGAATCTTAGGAAAGAATCCAGGATTTCTGGGCTAGGAAAGACATATCAGAACAAGACTACAAAGTGGACAAGTATCATCGTGGTTGGTTTCACTCGATGTTTGGAAAGGGCAGCATTTGGACTTACCATAGGGTCTGCTCATTGAAATAAACAAGCCTATGTGAGGACTGGCTTAGTTTAATTTTCCAGATTGGTAGTGTTTTTTCTTGTTCTGTGGCCATTAGAGTGTTTTCCTGGCCCCAGATACAATAATATTTAAGTTTCCTTTCTGTCTCTTCTCCATAATAATGAAAATAATACATAAAACAATGAAGTGATGTAATACTGTGCAATGCAACTGAGAGCTATTTCTTTAATGGCTTTGGATGTAGTTTGAATTGGTTTTGTTGCAGAATAGATTTTGAGTAAATATTCTGTTGTAACTTTTTTTCACTTCTTTGTATAGGTTGTGAACCTGTTCAACATGTTCATCACTTACGGAGACACCTTTCTTCCCACTCCCAGCAGCTATGATGAGCTGTATTACGAAATCATTCGGATGCATCAGAATTTTGACAACCTTTATTCTATGGGTGAGTAGCTCCTGACTGGTGAGGAGTACTGTGAGGGTGGTGGTAGAGGGATGATCGTGTCAGGTGTTTTTCATCCACCTGCTAATCATATGTCTTGGCAGTGGACATGTTTTGTGTACTAGGATGCGTTTGGTAAATTAAGAATTGAGAGGGGGATAAACTTGTTAAAGGTGTAATTTTTTTAGTCAGAAAAAAAAAAAGGGAACAAACTCATTGCTTCTCTAACAGCTACATACTGTGGTTGGAAATACAAGTTTGTTGGCACAACTGGGAATGTGGTATTTCACGCATCTTCGCGTAGTTTACATCTATTGCATTCAACAGTTTCAAGTCAGAACGCAGGTATGTGCTGCAGAACCAGCCAGCACAGAGAAACTCAGTGCAAACAAGAATTTGGAAAAGAATTTGAGAAACTTATAGCAAGAAGCTTGCTGTGCTAGACAAATCACATCTCCTACACTCATTGCCAAAACAAACCAAGAAAACAGCCTTCACAAACCTGCTTGTAATGACAAGCGAATCACTGGACTCAAGAATGTGCCTATTGGCAAAACAGGGAGAAGCTGCCATCCTTCAAAGAGAGAGAGACATGCTGGAATGCCACCAAGTGATGTGCAGCAGAGAAAAGGGGAACAAAAGGAGAGCAAGGAATGCATGGAGGCACAATCAGGCAGTGTACACACAGGAGCCTGCAGCAGCACTGGTATGGAGCCTGCAATAGCACTGGTATGGAGCCTGCAATAGCACTGGTATGGAGCCTGCAATAGCACTGGTATGGAGCCTGCAATAGCACTGGTATAGTGCCTGCGTGCTTGAAGTTCTGAAGCAAAGAAGACAGCTATAGGTTTTGTTTGCTTCTTCTAGAAGCACCTTTCTTCACCCCCTGCTCCTTTCTCAGTGTGATCACCCAGTAAACAGCAGGAGTTAATATAAGCTAATAAGGGGAGTTAAAAGGCAGTGGGAGGGAGACAGTTGGCCACAGCCCTCTTCTGATATGGGAGAGAACTATCATCACCTAAATAAAATTAGCTGAATACTCTGTGCAAGTGCAAGCAAAAATGAACTGCCCTTTTGTACCAACTTCCTACTGTTTTCATCCATTATATAAGGGATCACTTGGCTATTTTCATGCCCTTTGAGCATATAAGATTTTTTGCTAATCCATTTCCTACTCCCAAGAATTACAGCTAGTAAAATGAGGTGCTTTTACTAGCTAGTAATTTTTCAAATCTGTCCTGTGTGGAAGCTGAAGGAAAGTGGAACGGAAGAATAACACTCAAATACTTAGTTGGGTTGCAACAGGCACATCTGACCTGTTGAAACAATTCATTTCCCACATGATTTTTTTCATCCTGCTACACGAAGCAAACCCCTTTGAATTAATGGAAACCCTCTCTGAATACATTACTTCAGATATTCAAGTACAACACGTACTGTTTGGCAAAATGTTACCCAGAGCTGACATCATTGTTTTTTTCCTGCAGATGACATGTAATAGTAGCACTAGGAAGTGAGAAGGTAGCACTGTTTCAAGTTAATGAAAGCCGCAGTTTAACCAAGAGTCCTGACAGCTTCCCTTTGCTTGTCAATCCATCTCACAGGGACTACAGTCACCCTTCTTTCTCTTAGCCTTGGGACATCTGTTAGCACAAATGAGAAGGCTACTCTGTCCTTCAACTTCCCTGTTAATGTGGTTGAAACTTTCAGAGTTGGAAGTGGAGATGAAATCTGATTGCTTTGGGTTTTATTAATTTATTTTTCTTGTCCTGAATCTGAACTTTATCCAGATCTGCCGGATTGAAGGCTTTTCTCATGTGATAATAGGCATGAGTATGAAGCCACTCTGCTTATGAATTCACTTGTAGCATCTGTATTTGTAGATGATGCTAAATTTGCGTGATGTGCTTTTCCCTCATGTCTAAGTTGAGGGTGAACCTTCCTTGTGGAATGTAACCACCAGAAAACCCTCTATATACAAATTAATAGAAAATTCTCTCTATTTCAGCAGTATGGAAATTAACCAAACATTTGCTACAGGCTCTGTTACTGTTTTGGTACTTGCAAAGAGATGTGCAGGTAGCTGCCACCATAGAAACACTCATACTCTGACCTAAATAAATATTTTTGGTACTCTGGCAGAAAAGAATTGGATTCCCTAGAAGTTCTTCTTGTTGCAGAATGTTTTCAGATCTGCTCCCAAGTCTGTCAGAGACCATCTGTGCTGCAGAACAACACCCTTGTTCCTACAGAGAATGTTTTTCCCTAGGCTGGTGTGTAATTCTTCTCTTCATTTCCAGATAAATGGGGAGGTAGAGAATCCATCACTGCTGGGTGGGTTTAAATTGCAGGATGTAGTCCAGCTCAGATGGAACCTCGCATACATAATAGGAGCCGGAGGAGAATGGTGGTGTGTGGAATGAAAGGTATCACTGACCTGGGATGCTGCCCCGTTTCTGGGGAAAATGAACTTTAATATGTGGTGATAAAAGCATTTAGGAGAACTTAGGCTCTTCTATTCCCTCTGTTTCCTGTCTGCCAGCCATTATTTTGTTCTGCTCACCTCTTCTGTGCTCCTTACCTTTCAGAAGGGCATTGAAGGGCACTCCTGCCCTGGATCACAGATGATTTCAAAGATGACCTTTGTTCTGATATGCTTCCCAGACTGTCGTCTTGCTAAAGCAGATTTTTTGACATTTTGGATTAGAAAAATGCCAGTTCTGTGCCAGCACTGTTAATTGTCTTTTCCTTTCAGTTCTAAGGCTGTCTACCAATGCTGGTCAATGGAAAGAGCCTGCAAGCAAGGTGACTCATGCCTTAGTCAATATTAGGTAAGGACTGGAAGTTAATAACCATTTTAAAGATTCTTGTGTCCTGTGTGACTGCGTTCTTACCGTGACACTTTCACATTTGTTGTACTGAATTTAGATTTGAATTTGTTCCCTTTGTTGGGCTAAATTGCTGCTCCATACAGGGCCCACTGGGATAAAGGGAGGATCACCAGAGTTTGATTGTCCTCTCTCTAATAATTCTCTTGGCTCTTCTTTAGACTGAGTGCTTTCAAAGCATGGCACAAGCTGTAATGAACTAATCCTCGCAGCATTCTTGGGAGAAGTTGTATAGTAGGGAACAATGCTGTGCTGGCAAAGCAATTGTGGATTTCTGTTGTGTGATTCTGTTGCAATTCTATGAAGCTATGAAGGGGCCTATAAGCCAGCTGTAATAAGCAGATTCAAGGCCTCTTTTAACATTGCAAGATTTGTGTGTGTGTTTAAAATTGATTATTTAGGGACATTTCAGTATTCTCTTAAACCTCTTCCTCCTGCTCAAGGGCAGAAGTTATGTTCTCCTTGTAAGACTAAGGAATATCTGGGGGTGCTTTTGTTCTGTATTCCTTCCTGACAGCTGTAATTTCTTGGTTTTGCTTCTGTAGCAGCTGAGTACTGGGCAGGAGGTTCCTGGATCTGATGGACTGGAAAATGGAAGAATGTTGAAAGAGAAAATTCATTGGTTATCTCTGGCTTGTAAACAAACCGTAAAAGATACAAGTATTTATCTGTCCATAGTTTCCCTGGTCACCCCAGGCACTTGGTGTCTACACTATACTGAGTAGCTCAGTATTCCACATTGCTAGTACTTGTCATTTTCCTCACTGCAAAGAGATTGTGTAGGACAAGGTGTCTGAGGGCACCTTTCAAGTCAGTATACATCTTACGTGTCTATAAACCCCCTTACAGGTTCCCTTAGTAAGTCTGTAAGCTTAGTAACGTCGTGTGTGGTTTCAGAAGATATATTTTGCTACTATCCTTATTACTGTTTTTTGTAAACAGCCGTAAATGGACGCTCGTGGGCAGATAATGCACTTGGAGTGAAGCAGCAGAACAGATGGTTGTTGCCAAATTAATGTCATTTAATGTGACACAAAGTGCCTGCCCTGGGAATTCTCTGTATACCCAGGAGAGATCTCTAAACTGGGAAGGGAGGAAAAATAAAAGCGCTTGCGCTTGCGCTCACCTCTGGTTTGTGCAATCAACAGTTTGTGATACCTGTCTCTGGACAGCCTGTACCAGGCATGTTTCAGTGCATGGTGCTGTCTGGAAGCAGTGAAGCCTCTAACATGTTTCTCTTCTAGGCTTTTGGTAGCTTTCCCCTGCTCCATCGAACTGCTCATGTGCATTGAAATTTTGTGTCATCTTTCACTAGCCTAAGAAGTTTTCATGAATGACTGCTTTTCATTTAGTGAAATTAGGAAAGGTCTAAATTAGTGATGATTCAAGGCTTAGAGAGGGATTGGTATTCAGAGAAGCTAGTCTGTTTGACTTACCTCCTCTCTGCCTCAAAAAAGGGGGGGGAAGGGAGGGTGTGTAGGTATTTTGAATTTCCTCTACCAGTTTGTTCTCTACTCATGGTAAAAATATTACATTTGAAGGGTTCTTTAACTGAATAGATTTTGGAGCAGCCAGTTGTTGAAAGCTGGACAGATCCAAAAGTACTGTGCTTTTGTGAAGGTGATCCACAGCGTGATGTTTCAAAATGGTGACTACTACTTTTTTTTGCAACAACATGCTTTAGAAACTTCCAAAAGATTCATTCCCTAAAGGGAAAATAGCTGAAATGAAAGGCCTGTGATAATGTGGTAATACTCCGTTTTGACCTAAAGACTGGATTTAGGCATTTGAAAGCTGCATATCGCGCAGCAGAAGGACAAGAGGATAATTCTTCAAGGAATGCCTCAAGCTTTCCAGGGTCTGAAGTTTTCTGCAGTCTGGAAAGACCATTTTGACCTTGTCTGTTGGCTACTCCACTTCTTCAGCAATGTCTTAGGAGGACTTGACACTAGGGCCACATGTTTTCTTCTGGTGTTGGACCAGGAGCACAAACTGGAGCCTTGTGCACACATGCCTGTGGCTCTGTTGCAGAGAGTCACGGAGATGTTGCAAGCCCATATCACCAAAGAGAAAAGGGAGAGAAGATGCTTGAGAAGAATGAACCATTTAGGGCTGATGGCTTTAGTAGAGAAACACAGTATATTAATGAATGACGGTATTATCCTTAGATGTAATTTTTTTATGCATCGATAAGGATGTGCTGATTTGAACCTGGCTTAGCTCCCCATTGTCTGTTTATGCCCCTTTGGTTTCCCCTTAGAGTAGTCTTACTGGACTATTTCTTATTCGGATGCCTTTGCCATGAAGGGAATGAGTTTAGAGAAATTCACCTTATGTTGCATTTTTCCCTCAGCTTGTTCTATCATTCTGATAAGTTGTTATGAGCAAGGATTACCTGCTTTTTGCTGGTAACAGTGCTGTGCAAAGTCACACTTTGGTTTGTACCTTCATCTCATTCCAACAGCTACTTAAAAAAAAAATAGATTAAAACTGTCAGTTCATTATCCTAAGGCTTTTGGTAGGAAAGATTATAAATGTAAAAGCATCTCTGTGTGCATGCACATGGAAAGCTTTAACAAGTGTCTTAAATCCTAGTGTACAGTCTTACATGTATTTTTGCTTGAGGAGGAGTGAGTTGTAAACAACTTTTCAGGGCTGCAATGCATTTATTTTCTAGGAGTAACTGTAAACACATAAAACAATCCTGCTTGTACCCCATGCTGCTGGATTGGCAAGGTCATCTGGTTAATTGCTTTAATACAGAGTCAGGATGAGTAATACCTAGAGAATCTTTGACACTTCATTTAAACTCAGCTGCAGAGGGAGATCCCACTTTGTGTATCCTGTTATCCTATGAACTGTACATCTCAGTTGGACTGTATTCTCCATTAGGCAGTCTGATGGAGTTTTGGTTGTTGCTGAATAATAATCTGATTTTTCTAGACCTTACTCCAGCGGAAAAAGCAGTCACGAATGTTCTTTTTGAGTATTGTGAGACAGGAAGGCTATTCCTACCTTCTCTCCATATCTCTCCTTTTTACAGATGATTCATAATTTCTGTCCAACCTAAAGAAAATAAAAACTTGAAGAAGACAGAATAATAATAACCGCACCTAGTTGAAATCTTCTGTACTGTATTGGAATGAGTGATCCCTATTGCTGTCCTGTCCCATAATAGTGATTATAATGTCTGTCTATGGATTTGTATTTGTCGTTTATGTAAATAATTGAGACATGATGGACTGCAAGATGCAGCTGCAGCACTGATGGGGTTGAAATAGAAGCTGCAGCAGTTAGTGGTTTGAAAACTCACCTTCTCACCTATGAGGAAATAAGCACATTTTGAGGCAAGTAATTTTTTTAAGCTAACGAGCCTCTTCAAGATAAAATTGTGCAGGTTTGCATTTAATGAGACTTTCATTAACACAGGGTTCAAAGGGGCATCTTCTGATTGCTCACACAGTGAGGAAGGTGGCAGCTGAATCCCTGTATTCTTTTAATAGACTTTCTCCAGATCAGGATTTTTTTCAAGGTGAATAAATAGATTAACTCAGTGATTAATAGACTGAATTTCCTCATTGTCTGAAATTCAGTCCCATCAGAATTTTTAAAGTAATTTTATTTTTCTCTCCGAAACACTTTTCCCAAGTAGAGAGTAAATTTTGGGTATGGAACTAGGTGACAGGATTTTTTTCTTTTTAAAGGTGTTTTATGTGCAGTTGTAGCATACGCTGCAATCATTGCTTGGGTGCTTTCATTCACTCTTCTGTTTTGCAGCTACTTTTGTTCCACATGAACCACCCTGTGTGATACTCTGGTTGTTCAGGAGGTGCTGCTTCTCCCAAGGCTGCTTTTGGGGTTGTAAAGGATAGATTGGGGATTTGGGAGGAGAATTGAAAGCATCACATGGTTGTGTATAAAATGGTTGTGCTTGCTGCCAGCCTGGACAGGAGCACACTGAAAGAACATTTACAATTTCACTTAGGTGAAAGAAGGCCAAATTGGACTGTGCTAGTTCATTGAGGGATACATAGTACCTTCAGCGTTGGTCTGCTTTACTGCAATGAATTTAGCATCTGTTCACAGGGAAAGAAAAGCTAAATGCTGCTGACCTCGTCCTGTGTTAATGGGTAGCTGTCGCATTTAAGCAGGATACAAGCAAGGGCACCTGATGGTAGATAAGGGTTTCTGTATAGAGAAGAGGCAATACAGTTAGCTGAGACTGTGTACAAAATATGTATTTTGCATACTTTCCTCCTACCCTCTCCATACAGACAGAATGGACACACGTGCATGTTTCTTGCCAATATGAGTAAGAGAATGAAAAAGCCTGTTTATGAAAATAAATGGTCAAGAAAGTCTATGTGCATATGTATAAAATACGGATATCTGTGTGTATAGTATATGTATACACACATATATATGAATGTGTGCATTCATATATATAAATATATAAAAATACATATACATAATCATGTATATACTTATAAAAAAGATTTATATAATGCACACACACATCTTGCCTTTAAGAATACAATATGTATGGCTACAATACAATACAATAATGAATTATTGACAATACAATAATGTATAGCTAAAAGCCATAATTTCAAGCTGGAAAAAAAAACCCTACCACTTGCTTGTTTTCAGCTTCTCTGAGATAAATCACGAGTGTTGACTAAGGATGCCCAAGCGTTGCTCCTGTCAGCAGTGTTACCCTGGGTATGTACATAACCCTGGGACTGATGAACAGTGCAGGATCATGCAGGACTGCTCGGCTTGGGCCAGCCAGTGCTGAGCGCGGAGGGTGCTGAGGCCATGTAGGTTACCTGGAGTTCATAAACCTACTTGTGAGGGCTACCACTGGCAGAATAACGACTCCATTTGGTTGTTCACCGAGGTGTGTTTAATGGTAATGACCTCTGACATGCTGTCACTGCTAA